TCCGCCACAATGGCGCCCTCTAGTGCTGACATATAAAACAAACCACCACATCCAGGTCAAACGTTTTCCTCCCAGCTGCTGTGTTCAGATCGACACCACAACCTGCTACCACCTCCTTTGTCCACAGGACTGAGTACAAAATAGTTCATATTTAGACAGATTAGCATTTCGTCCTCCTGGCTAACAGTTCAGACAGAAAGACCGCCGAGTCTCTGAATGTTTTTATCTTCTTTTGATCAGTTTGTTTTCTCTTCTGGTTCAAATTTCAACATTTAAGGCTGCTTTTGTTTTTCTTCGTCCTCCTCTTGGCCACAGCATGTCCGTATATCTTGTTGGCTCCTGATAGGCAGATTCTGTCCAGTCGTGTGATTTGCATTGTGCACATTTCCCGTTCAGTAGTTTATAAAATCTCAGCTGCTCGGCGTATGAACCCGTTTCCAGCCCTCTCCGACCACCAGGCAGTAAGAAAAGGAAAAATAAAAACAAGCCAAAGCTAGCGCATGTTCAAAGACAGCAACGGTGACACCTGTCGGCCATGTTAGCTACCATGTGTTCCTGTTCTGCTAACGGACCCATAATGCATGTTTGACATCTTCATCTTGAAAAGCAGAGCTGTAAAATTATATATTCCTAAACTAACAGAAGGAGAACAATTAGAAACAACAGACATCTACTGTGTCACCTTTACCCTGTTGAGAAACTCCTTCTTCATCTTTGCAGCTCTGTTAAAACCTGCTAGGTATCCCCACCGGATAATCAGTGGAGATCACTGAATTTATACTGATATGAAAATATGGGTGTCAAAACTATTTAGAAAAGGGGAAATATGGAAAATAACAAGGTCAGGTGAGTTAACTTGCCTATCTGCCTCCTTTAGCTGGCTAAAAAGTGGTTCTGATATAATTTGTATAATTTAATACGTCCACTTCATAGGCACAGATCAACTGAATGCATAATTAACAGAATATCTCTTTACATTGTTAAAAATAAAATACATTTGGGAACTAAAAGAACTGACAGAAAGCAGCTAATGTTGAAATGCATCGTCTCTGATGCTAATGCGTAATTTACCATTAAGTAATAAAAAGGTGTGATGAGCTTTGTTGCTTTAACTGGTGGATTATCTGATTTGTGGGGGAATTTTATGAGCTGAGAAATATTTAATTTCAATTGGGAAAACGTGCGTTGACAGGTTCTTCATCCTTTCTCCATGTTGCCTCTCTTGAAAAATAATTCATGCATAGATCCCCATTGAGAAAACCCCCTTTATATTCTTTCTCCTTTGTACACATTTATATAGAACTATATATAATATCATTTCTCTATATCTATATTGTCAGCAAAAATCTTTCCACATTAAAACACTTGAACAACAACAAAAATAAACAAGATGAGTGAAAGAAAACCACAATCAAAGGCCAGTTTGGCACTTGGTCATGAGGACATACAGCCTGTGTTTTCAGACAGGGATTAAAATTCATCTCAACCTTGATCAGAAAGCAAAAACACATTTGGCACGAACCGTATTGGTAGACTGAAATGACGTTACTTCTGACATCTCAGTACGTTGTTGCTCCTTGAACAAAGAAGCACCCTACGGAGGGGAGAAGTCAAATGAGCCGTAAATAAGACACAGATGTAGAAAAGAAACAAATAAGAAACCTCACAAACACTCTAGAAGACGGTAAGAGCTGACACCAAAGTAAAAAAGAGAGAACATCAAAGGTCCAAAAGCGTTTGTCCCTTTGAAAATTTCTTTAGACTGGAAACTGTGCACCCTCCTGGAAAAAGGTATGTCTGAAAGATCGACGTCGCCTCCGAGCTGATCATCTGCTCCAACGCAGTTCATTTTAGTTCATTGTGTCTCCTGCTAAGCTGTACAGCACATGATGGAGGAGGTGGAGTTCCTTTTAGAGAAACAAGAGAACGTAAGAACAGAACGAAGGCCCTCAACCACAGGCCTCCCTTCTAGATCGGTAGGAGATCCAGGACTCCCTGTCTTTAGGTGGTGCTGGGTGGGCCAGTCCCTACTATACCCTGGTGGTGGAGTGGGGGTGTGGCAGGGTGTTGTTGTGGCCGGTGGAGGGGAAGGTGTTGAAGGCATGAAGAGGCTGCATGCTGGTGATGGTGCTTGGGATCATAGTGATGGTGTTGGGCGTCATCAGCGGCACATCGTCCGGAGCCCGGCGCAGCGCCAGCGTGTAGTCGGGCGGGCAGGCGGGTCGCAGGATGTCATGTGGTCGAAGGGGCTCCAGGTCGTGGTGAGCGTCGTGCTCAGAGTGCTTCATCTGCAGGGACATGATTTCCTCCTCCTGGCTGTGAGCGAGGTCGTTGGCGGGTACGCCGCGCTGAGGAGACAGTCGGTGCCGTCGCATCTCGTGGCGCTTGTCGCGTTTGTAGTAAAGGGCTGCGAATGCCAGGATGTTGAGGAACAGAAGAGAGGCTCCCACAGCGACCGTGACACTCAGCTCTGTGGAGTAGTCACGGGTGTCTCCAGGAAAGAGGTCCTGGATTGGACGGTCCGAGCCCTCGGTTTCAGGATCGGAGGTGAAGGTTGAGTAGGGGTGGGGAGTGGTTCGAGGACCTGGAGTCCTTGGCCTGGGTCTGTAGGTGTCCGGGCCTGGACCAGGGCCAGATGGCGATCGGGTTGTGGTCGGGAAGATGCCATTGATGGTATGAAGATGGGGGACGAGTTCCAGCCAGAAAGCCACCTTATTCGCTCTGTAGTTGTCCCTAACTCGAGGTTTTAAACCGATATGGAGATACTGCTTGTCCTTTGGGTTGAACTTTGTCCAGATGACCTCTTCAAAGCGGTTCGGTTTGGTGTGAATGAACTTGGTGTCCTGAGGGACGGGGAGGTTGGGGTCGCTGATGGAAAACGAAAAAGAATCGTTGATTAATGTGACAAAGCGTTGATAATGTTTTGGAAAAACACCATGGATGCTTCAATAAAGGTCCATTTACGTATCAATAACTACTGACTTAGAGTTAAAATATGTCAGATTAAAATGAAACCTACCCAGTTTTAGCAAAGTTAGTCCAGTAAGTCATGACCACAGCGCTCAGCATCACGTCATTCTTCGAGAAGTTGCACGGGAACAGGTCTGTGGCGCCGATCATCGGCACGCCGAACACGTACGGGATCTCGTCTCCGTGAGCGGCATCGGCCCATTCGGGTCGCGTCTCCGTCTGGCAGTGGTGGTAAAATGTGTAGAAATAAACAGGCGACTGGAACTCAGCGTGAAGTTTGGCAGTGGCCACAGCTGGCGCCACCCACTGGTGGTCTGTGAACAAAGCTAGGAGAGTCTTTCTTCTCATGTCACCATTGTCCCTGTCTGCCCAGTCTGTGTACATGAACTTTATGGTTTCCCTCAGGATGTCTTTGCCTGCAAGAAAACCAGAGATAAAGGATTAAGAAATGTGACCGAGAAGGCTGAGGTAGATAGAAACTATCTGCATTTTAATTGGGTAAGATGTAGGGCTTTGTAAAAGTATATATTGAATATTTTCACATTTGGACTTGTTGATGCCAGCAGACAGAAATATGCACACCAGATTATTATGATTTCTGTTTGTAAAAAAAAAACCCCACCAATGTCCCTCCATTTCAGAATCATAAACCCCTTTTTGTTGGTCCATCACATGAAATTTCCCTAAAATGCATTGAGGTTTGTGGCTGTAAAGTGGCAAAATTCGAAAAACCTCAAGGATTGTGAATCGTTTTTCAAGGCGGCGTATGTTAAAAGGCGAGACAAAGTGAACAGGATTTGCCTTTCAGATACACAATGACTGATGAGAACTTGAGAAGGAGCTGCATTATTCAAACGTGTGTATTTGGACTGTGGCTTGCTGCGAGGGGTTTGCAGGCTGAGCTGTTGGGAACAACAGCACTGTGATTGGGAGGCGGCGGCTGCCTGGGGGCTGATGAGCGACAGCATTAGTGCCCACAGAGCCCCAAAGGCCAAAGCACAGACCCACCGCGGTGAAAGATAATCTCCATGATAGGCGATCTCATTAGTATGCTTGTCTTGGCTGGTACACTCCACTTTTTGTTCCTTCTCATTTTCTTGCTCACATATTGTTTTAAAGATGCACACTTCAAGAGGGGGCTGTGATTCGGAGGTGCTTGATGTGTTTCCATGTTCAAGAATAGCTCTCTGAAGGAGTTTATGTAAAACAGGATCATGCGGAGAGAGATTTCTAAGACTGACAGATGTTTGGGTCGAGGTTCCTCACCTTCAGGATATCCGTAGAGGTTGTCCACAAAGTTAGAGATTGTGTAGTCGAACGCTGCAGCCGAGATGCCATCGTTGTCCTCGCTGTCGTCCACAAACTTCAGTCCTTCTCCCTGGTTCACTCCTATGAGGATGTCATAGTTGAGGAACTCCCCCTGGTGGCACAAAAACAGAATTACAAGTTTTGTAAACAAATTTAGATGAGACCTGAACCAAGAGCCATTATTAAAGCTTTTTCTCCCCTGAAATTTCTCTTTCAATGTAGATTAATTCCACATTTAATTATTGTCAAACTGCTGTTTATAAATGTAAAAAAGATGAGCAAAATGTAACGCCTTCCAGATGTCCACCATCAGCAGGTGAGTGAGCATGAAATCAGTTTTTCTGCTTTTACATCAGAAGGCTGACATGGCAAGTCCTGTTACATGTTTTAAGTATCTTATTCTATATTAATGTGTTATTTAATCATTTTACCTTCCTCCTTCAAGGATTTCTCGACAATAAATTGTCCTAGAAATTATTATTGTTGATTTGAGACAATTTTTGAGTAACATGTTGATAATGACATAATAATTCAAGTTTGGTCTCTAAGGAGCAATAAACTTTAATTTAGTAAAGAACACTCCACACTGGAACTGGAAGACATTTAAATATGCAAAATAAAACACAACAAATTAAAAGATAATAAATTAAAACACATCAGAAGCCAGAAATAAAAAAATGATTATGATGTTTCTGAAATTGCCCTTCAAAAATTAGTAATCATCAGACTGGAAATCGTCTAGCTCATTTTATTTTCTTATGCACTTCATTGCTTATTGCTACAGCAGCAGCTGCAGCAGCAGCAGCTACAGCAGCAGCAGCTGCAGCAGCAGCAGCAGCTGCAGCAGCAGCTGCAGTAGCAGCTGCAGCAGCAGCAGCAGCAGCAGCTGCAGCAGCAGTAGCAGCTGCAGCTGCAGCAGCTCACCGTCCACCTCTAGTTGCAGTTTTACAAGCCGAGTTATTTTTCTTTGAGTAACTTCTCACCAGCTGCTGAGTGTCGCAGCCTGACCTGTAACTGTGTGGAAAGGTCACATCCACACCTCACTGCGACTTCTCAACTTCCTCCAGAGTTACTCAGACAATGGTGAGGTCACCGTCTGACCTCACCTGCTGCATGAGGATCTCCGGGTCGTCCGGCACCACGTCTCCGTCCACCACGGGGCCGAAGGCGATGTGGTAGCGGGCCGGCTGGATGTCCTGGTCCACCAGCTCCCTGAAGGTCTTCCGCCTCAGGCAGTCCACCAGGTCGGCGGTCTCTGAGTAGGTGCAGCCCACCTTCCTGGCCAGGTTCTTGGTGTATTTCAGGGGCTGGTAGTTGACGGACCAGCTGGAGATGGCCGTGCCGCTCTGAGCTATGGCCCTGTGGAACAGACCTAATGGACGAGATTGAAAAAGGACATTTGTATTCTGCCTTTTTGAAGGTTTCGGACTGGATTCTTTGGTGGTGATGCAAAGAAAACTATTTTTTTTTCAATATTCTCTGAAGACATAACAGAAAATCTGACAGATTTCCATCATAAAGCAGCTAAGGACACTGAGGTAGCAGTGGGAACAAGCTCTTTGGATAAGTCAAAATATCCATTTTAACTTCCTTTTCTCTCCTTGCCTCATTTCTACACCTCCCTGCTTCAGTCTCTCCCTCCGTCTCCTGAGTTCTGCCCATCCTGAGCCGTTGAAGCCAGTCGAGTGGCTCGTTAAGGGGGCCGCCTGCCTCTCTCGTTTCCTCTCGGGCTCTCTCCTTCTTCCTCTCCCTCTCCTCTCCAGCGCTGAAGATTGGTCAGTTAATTATTAAGCAGAGCTGCAGAGTCTCCTTTCCCTTAGAGATCAATTATAGTAAGAAGTAGCAGGGAAACAGCTACACCTACATGCATATCTGCACCAGGAGTGGCAGAGGGAGGGAGGGAGACGGCTATATTTTATTAGTCCTTAAGCCTCTGTTCTCTGCTACTTTATTTGGCATCTTGTCTTTTCTTGTTTTTCATATCACATCGGTCTTTATCACCTGGGTACTAATTTGCAGATTGTTTCACAACAAATATGGAGCCATCAAAATCTGATCTTGTGTCTCAACTGCCAGGTCAGTCTGGAGGAGAGAAATCATCACTGAAGCATCCTGGACAGGTCACCAGTTCATCGCAGGGCAACACAAACACAACAGACACACAACACACACAAAGCTAAGGATAACTTGGAGTAACTAACTAACCTAACAGTGATGTTTTTGAACTGTGGGACAAAACTGGAGGACCTGGAGAGAATCCACGCCTGAGAAATTACAAACTCCATGCAGAAAAGCCTCCAGGACCTTCTGGCATCTACAGTATTATTTGTGCAGACTTCAAGCCTCCTCAAGGCAAGCAGGCAACCATTGCTATAAAAAATTAAGTTTTTCACAAACCAATATGGCAGCAACTAGGAACCCTCTCAGTTATCAATAACTAAGACACAGATAATAATATTGGTGTATTTGAGCTGTAGATGGTTAAAAGAGGTGTTGAAATTACCAGAAATAGATAAAAGCAAAACATTTATCTTTGCACTATTGTTCCCTGGTAGAACATTGAAGTAAGCTGATTGTCTGGAGTAACGACGGTTTTCCTTCATCAGGGACGAGGAAGCTGATCAGGGTTGTTGTGAAGATGGCATGGTATGTCAATTTGTTTGAATGGCCTAGTCAAATCAAATCGAGTCAATGGCAAACACGAATGCTGTCCAAACCTACATTAAGAGACTTTCAAAGTATTCATCTGAAGAAGCTACGTACAAACACTCGCTCCGGTTTTCAGATTTTCGTCACCACACATCGTCTCCCTTCCACCTCATAACTTTACGCTACTTTGTGTTGATCTGCCGCATAAAATCCCAATAAAACTCATTAAAGTTTTCTGACAACATATGTAGAAATACAAATACTTCTGCAAGGCAGTGATGCTCATTTTCTCCATCGTCTATCTCTGTCCCTCATCATATAATCAACGTTACGAAGCGTTGCCTTCATCGCCGCCTGCTGTCGGGTTTGATCTGTGCAAACCTGCTGCTGACATGATGGGTGTCCTTTAATGACAGAATGACGGACTCCTTACCTTGGATCCATGACGGAGGGGGAAAGAGGGAGGAAGGATGACAGACAGGCGGCTTCTAGTGAGTTGATGTTACACCGATAGATGCTGATGCAGAGGAAGGTGATGATGATGAGGTGATGCCAAAGCAGAGGGATGAAGACAGACGGTGACAGCGGGTTGGTTGTCAGCAAACAAAAGAAACTGTTGGTGGTTAAAGGGTTAATTCAATATAAAATCTATAAAAAAAAATCAAAATGCAGAGTGAACAATTCAGGCCTCAATCTAAAAATAAAGATGTAAGGAGAGAAGAAGAATTTAAAAATATAATACCCAGAAAGTCATAAAATAAACTTCACACCTATAAAAACTGTCTAATTAACACATAACATGAAATTTTATGTATAAAACCAAGTTTTAATGAATCACATTTAGAGGTTTAACGTGATTTTAAGACAAGCTGCTAGCATGTAAGGTGAACCGCATCCTGACTCAAAGTGTGAAACCAACACAAAGTTCAATCTGCACAAACTTTACTTCTACCAGTGATTATGTTTTTACTGCTTTACGCAGCAAAGGTGATAATGGCCCAATTAGGACTGTTTCATAAATGCTAAGCAGATTACAGTTAATTACAGTTTATGATTTGTGTTTGAACTTTATAACTTCAGGCGTGAAATTATGTTTTCAATCATGTTGGAACGCTGTGGGAAAAAACTGTTGTGATGTTAATATGAGGAAAACTAATCATTTGTTTTTAGCAGTAGATACACTGGAGAACCAGGAGAAAAAAGAAAGATGCTTAAATTTACACATACAGGCTTAAATATAAATGTAAACCCCAGTTCAATTCAAACGTGTTTAATTCGTCGGTGTGGCTTGTTGCACTTTTCATTTGAGCTTTCGTTTTGTGTCAGATGCTTCTTTCTGCGTTGGTCCTCCAACCTCAGGTCACGTCGACATTAAAACCAGAATCAGCTGGAACTTCCTGACAAATCTCCTTTCATGCAAACGCGACGATTTGAATGTTCGGACTGGACAACGACTCCAAACAAGCATCAAAACTGATGAAGCTGCTTGACTAGATACCTCTGGAAAGTTCTTAGATGACAGTTTGGTTCACGACTGGAAACCAAGAAGACAAGAAGAGTGGTTAAATATTGAGCAAGAGTCAGGCTTTGAAAGGCTCTGGTCAAACTACAAAGTGCTAAGGAACAATTGACAAGACATTAATGGTGGTGTATGAATATATTTGACCCTTAAGATATGAATCATAACTTCTCAAGCCTGGATTTTCTTTGGAATATTAGATATACGCTACAAAAAAAAAATCAGAGTAGACAAATTATTTGTGAGTTTTCTATTTGTTAGATTTTGGCCTTCATGTAAACTAAAACTGGTGCACCTACTGCTTACTTTTAAAAATATTAAAGACGTATGTTGTTATCACTTCTCCCTGAAAAAACGGTTTAAAAGCATCATCATATTAATACAGTATTCATGTTGATGTTGAGTGTTCAGAAACTTTACGCTTTGTAGCGTAAGAGCAAAAAAAAACAAAAAAAAACAGATTTTTCCTCATCGTTCCAGCATGTTAGAAACAAGGTGCTGCATTTAATGTTTTCGTTAAAAGTTTATAGAAGCAGACAGAAGTTTTCTGGGCTCCTGGGTTAATTTGGTGGGTTAGCAGACATCAGTGGCAGGCAGAGGCTCAGTCAGGATTTCACAGCACATTTTGTTTTCAAAGCACAGAGAAGGAATTAGTCAAAAACTAAAGGACTGCTTAATGCTTGAGATCCACACACACAAAGAACCAGAACAGATGTGAAACTGCTTTTTCAGATCTTTCTCTTCACCCACAAACGGCTCGAGAAGGCAGCGATATTCAGGGCGAGACCTCGAGCGACGCAGAGAACAGAGGAGCAGCGATCTGAGGAGGACAGCTTCAAGAACGCCGTGATCAAAGGCGGCGAGCGCGTGGCCGTTTGGCCGCGGATCGTCAGCCACGCTGATCTCAGCTCAGATCAAAGCGGCCCGGCTCGCAGTTCTCTGTCCTCTGGTGGGGCCGCGTTAGCGCTTAGCCCCCGGGGTGTTTTGTGCTGGTAATGGGGAGCAGGAGGTCGAACACGTGTAGGGTTTTGATGAAGGAAGGCCCTTCCTGCCGCACAACAGAAGCGTCGGCGAGGCAGGTAATGTGGGGTAACGCCGGCGCTCCCGACTCATTTATCTTCTGAGGATGTGAGCGACGCAGAGAGGATCAAACCTGCACGCGCTCATTAGGCACTCGGTGCTCAAATCCTTAAGCTCAAAGGACAAGCGGTGTGTTTTCTTTCAGGAAGTCAAGTGAGCCTCACAGGTGACAGACTGAAGCTGCCATTCTGCATAATTAAGGTCTGTCTGTCTGTCTGTCTGTCTGTCCTGTTGAAATGATCCGACAGTCTCAGAGCTCAAACCCAAAAACATGTTATCCTCATCTGTCACGTTCCTCTGTTTGGTTAAAGCAGCAGTGTGTAACGTTTATAAAAGATTATTTTTTTTTTATTTCTTAAGACTGTCATTATGTACTGACAGCAAAATGTAAGACAGATAATCAATAAAAGAAATGATCTCCTCCGTCTTCTCCCTGAGTTTATATTGCCGACTGAAGGAATGCACCAAAAACAACCAATCAGAGCCAGGAGGAGGGACTTGGTGCTGTCAATCACCCTCATGTATGCACTAATTACAGCCTCCCCTTGTTCTCTGCTATGCTACAGCTTCTCCTCAATAGCAGAGGTTGCCATGAATGCTAAAGCTAGTTAGCATAACCACCAATGATGGCGGATAATCAGTTTTCTTGTTCCTTTGCCATTAGCACATTAAGCAAAGTGTACACGAGTCTGATTGGCAGCGCTAAGACCCTCCTGTTTCTGATTGGTTGCCTTTGGTGCATTTTTTTCAGACAGCAACAGTAGCTCAGGAAGGAGGTGGATGAGATCGATCTTTTCACAGACCTGGTGACAGTTTTAACAAATAAAATGCATATTTCTATAAAACTCAGTCGGTGCGGCACAGTAGAGCATCGTCTCACCCTCAGAGTGGTGAGACAGGATGAGCAGGTTCACGCAGGAGGCTCCTGCTCCAGATCCAAAGATGGTGATCCTCTCAGGGTCGCCGCCAAAATGGCCGATGTTTTCGTTGAGCCAACGCAGAGCCTGAATCTGGTCCAGCAGGCCGTAGTTCCCCTTAGCGGACTGGTCGCCGGTGCTGAGGAAACCTGTTGGTTGACACAAGGAAGAGAAACAGAGAATTATCGATGCTACTAACTTTCATAATGTTTCCTTCATGTAAACTTTTCCTTCTCTGAATGGTAAATCAGATTGTAGCTAAAACTGCAGAACACAACTCAACTATTACAATCCAAATAGTTGAGTTAGATAAAACTTCAATTATAACCAGAATTTAATGCTCGTGAACTATTTAAAAAAAAAAATATTTAACTTGTCATAATACAACTGGACAGTTTTAATCCTGAAGTTTTTTCTGACCTGAGATAAAAAGCATCTAGAGCTGAATCAGTAAACTATAGTCATATTTAATAAATTATAATATTCTGACACCTTTGAAAATAACATCCTTTTCATTAAGCCCACATTTAAAATTATATTAGCTGTAAGTCTAAATTATCATAATTAACAGAAATAAAACCTTTCAAACATCCATCTGTATGTAATTAATCTATGTAAAGTGTTTCACTTGGTGATAAAACTCCTGAAATATGTGGACTTTTTAATAATTTTCTAATTTATTGAATAGGTATGGATGTAGAAAGCATCAATAAATACTCATGAAACCTTTTAGCTTTTTAACGCACAGTTAAAAAGCAGCAGAAACATTAATACTCTGAATATTTTCTAAACGTTCGTAACCTTCCTCACGGTGAAACGTTTTAATAAAACGTAAAATCCACCTGCAGCTGTAAACAGCCTCCAGTGATGTTTAGCCTGTTTAAACATATATTAGCTCCTCCGCATGGATCGACTGATTTTAAATAAAAACATTAAATCATACACTGTATTTTATCTGCATTAACACACTAAAGGTGATGTCAAACAAGCCAAGAAGTTAAAGTATTAGAAACACTGACGACATCATCTCTATTTTCAGAAATATTTCATGATTTTCTGATGATGTTCAGGTCCAGAAATTCATCATCCTGTTACTCCACATGAATGAATGAACGTCTAATTCATGCATGTTGACTGTGAACATGACAGCTTTCCATACCGCTCTGATGCCTAATTAAACCCAGAAGTCTCCTTGTTCTGCACCTCAGATCTCCATGACACGCTGTTCCCTCTGTTAGCTGATATTTTCCTCTGATGAACGCCTTTAATTGTTCAACCAAATACATAACTCGTTTCCACTTAGGTAGCAATTAACCGCCAGTCTCTGAATGGGACCTCTAATTAGAGCCAATTAAAGACGAGCGTACTGGATAAGCTGTTCATTAAGCCTAAACAATGGATGTTAAACACTTATAAACAGATAGTGCAAGGTTAGGATTTAAAAACAAACAGCACTTAAAGAGGGATACTAATTAGAGATAAGACCTTAAAAGGCATTAACATTGTAAAATTATGCAATTCTACAGTAAAACTGGTTTAGGTGATCAGGAAATGTGACTTTATGTCACTTTAATGTGAATTTATGGGGTTGGGACACTGAAAACTGGTCATGAGTAAAGATTGATATGATCTGTTTAGTTTTTAGGTTTATGTTTATTAAAGTAGTTAAGGTGAAACCCAAAAACAATTAACTAGTCAGAATATAAATAGATTAATTATCTTTAAGGCAGAAATCAAACAGCATTGCACTGCATTGTAAATCTTGCATTTATACAGGCCGTCAAGCCCAGTTTGAAAAGTTGTTTTTAATACTTTTTTAATAAATATGTGTAAATTATCTTGTCTGAAGTAATATTATTATATTTAATTACTATGTTCGTGTTAGTGACTTAGTTAACTAGTCGTTGGAAAAGGGAAAAAAAGAAAAAAGTGCCGCAGATATTTATCAACTAGTACTTGTGTGAAAATGGCGCCACTGTGTGGCAAGATAAGGAATTACAATTCAGATTCTGAAATATGGCAGAAAATACTTTTACTATTACTAATAAAAGTCATGATATTAATATAAATACAGGCAAATAGTAGAGCAGTTAGCAAACAGAAAACATTAAATTAAGAAACATTTTTTTAAAATCTATATTTTATTCATCATTATACATCCATAAAATTTACATTTTGAAGAATAATTTGATCTTTGCAGTCTCAATATTCCTTAGAGCCAGCCAAAATTATATGAACAACAAATAATAAATGTATCTTATCATCTACTGTATGAATATTTATACTGTCTGTAACTGAATTTGACAATAAATATTAACAGTTTGTCTAAGAAATGTTCACTTTGAGAGGAAAACATCAACAGTCAGCTGAAGCCAAAATAACTCCAGTTTCTGCTTGTATTTATTGATCATCTCTGTTTCACAGAAACAAAAGCCAACAAGGCGTTTATCAATTAGACGCTCGCTGGAGCCCGGCCCTTCGGTGCCGCTCTTTAAATTCCAGAAACGCATAAAAATAAGCAGCACGTTTGGGTAAATTAATTAAAGGGAAGCGCAAACACGAGGCGAATAAGCCGCCTTAATGCCCGACTGTAAACACCACAATAAATTAAACAACAGTTATGCTAAGTAGGTCATTAATTAGGGTAATTAATCTAAAAAACAGCGATAGTTCTGTGTCAGCGCCGTGTTTTTTTAGCATAATGCTGCTGGAACGTCCAGGTTTTAGCGGGTTGGAAATACATAAATCTGTTTCTTACCCTCATTGTGCAGCTTAATGACGCATCAAATGTTTTGTTCTCTGGGTGTTAATAGTTTTATTTTTTAAAAATGTGGCGTTGTGCAGGTGGAGAAACATACGCAGACAGAAAACGTTCTCCTGTCGGTTCTCCTCCTCTCTCACGCTGCGTTCATCTGACAATAAGTCAGTGTGATGATGCCCCCCCCCTCCCTCCCTCCCTGCGCCTCCACGCCCCGTGATCTGATGAAGGGCTTGGAAAACGTGCAGGATGGGTTCAAGAACGGCGGCGTGACACGAAAACTCTGTTCTGCTCGAATCGCATTTAAAATTGGTGAGGAATGACGGGTTAGATGGGCGAGGCAGAGGGGGAGATAAATAAAAGGAGCAGGCGCAGAGGACAGTGGGTGTTCTGTGACTCCCGGATAGAGGAGCAGTGTTTCATCTGCCTCCAAGACACCAGGGGTTGGCTCCAACACACACACACACACACAGACACACACACACACACACACACTCAGGGATGCTGATCAAAGGCTGACGCTACAGAAAAGACTGCATCCTTTCCCCTGCATCTCCTTTACTCTTTCCATCCCCGGATCAGACGTCATGCTACGGACAGACTTCTGGCTTCTGCAAACATAAAACAGTCACACATCATTGGAAAATTATAAAAAGAGTGCATGTTGTGACCAGCATGGGTAAATAAAACCTGCAGTAAATGTTTTTTATGCTTTTTTTATGCGCCTCCTTACTTTTCATTCAGGTTTATTTGTTCACACATGTGACCATGTGGCAGTGACTTAACCGACTGACTGAAGGACACACTGCTAACACGCCTCATCCTGCATGAATAGATGGTTGGAGTGCCAGATGTCTCTAGGTGAGAGTCAGAGTGTGTGTGTGTGTGTGTGTGTGTGTGGGTGGTAATTATTCTCTGTCAGACGAGTCCAGAAAATATATTTTCTCAGCTTCATTCTCACAGTTCAGAAGCTCATGTTAAATATTTTTTATTTCCAGAAGGGAATAACGTGAGAAAAGAAGAAAAAGAATTGGAAAAAAGGGGAATAAATGAGAACATTTCTGTTTTCTTCATCAGGCTGAAGAAGAGTCTTTTCTTCCTCACAAATAGTACTTTGGCTGAAATGCAGCAGCTGGCCTTGGGTGATTTGCTTCGCTGTTTGTTCTCCGTTTTATTGTTCACTTTTATCTCTGTAAATTTGCTATTCCCATTGCTGGGCTGTGGCAACCGAATTATCTGTGGAATTATTCAAATTTTACGCCCTCATACTGGGAAGGACCCCTCTGAGTGTGTGTGTGTGCGTGTGTGTGTGTGTGGGTTGGGGAAACGTTTGCTGGTTGTTTCCTGCCGGTTTGGTCTTGAACAGTTTTCTCTAATCAGTCCATCTCATGGCTCATGTAATAAAGCGTTTCTGCATTTCTACTGTCGACAGTAACTCAGAACATGAACTCTACTGATTTATTGTTTCTAAACTGATCTGTGGCGTTGCTATGGAAACCGCAGGACCAAAGGTTTGCCGATTCCCTGACCCGGATGAAAATAAACAAAAGCAGCCCGACCAACACGTCCCGTTTCCCTCAGATCAGATATTTGATGTCGTTGCGTTCATCACTACAGAAACTCAGAATGAACATATTTTTGTTAATCTTTGCCTTACTTACTTCTCTGACTGAATCGTTAACTATACGATCCAATTAACAATTAGTCGATTACTAAATTAGCTCACTGAAAAGACTAATCACGATTAATCTGAGTAATCCTTTCAACACTGTTTACAATATTCTCTTTTTCTTTATGCTGCTGAAAGAAACAGAAAGAAAGTAAAATTGTCTTAAATGTATTTATTTTTGAATGAATTCGCATGAGGGGCAGTTTGTAGCTCTGCTGCAACAGGAAGGTTCTGGGTCTGAATCCTGGCCTGGGGGTCTTTCTGCATGGAGTCTGAATGTTCTCCCTGTGCATGTTTGAGTTGTCTCTGGGTACTCCAGTCCAAAAACATGACTGTTAGGTTAGTTACTCTCCTAAATTGTCTTTTGAGATGGTTGTTTGTTCTTTGTGTGTCCAATGTGATGCTGGAAAGAGACACCAGCTGCCAGTGAAAACCTGAAACCACTAAACGACAGTTTCATAAAGTCTCACTAATATCTGACTGCTAAAACTTAATAATTTGCTTAAATAAAGGCAATTAATATTCGCATAAACCTGTGATTTTCTTAAATATGCAGCCTTGTTGTCAATAATACAATAACACAAACCTTATTTTACCACAACTTCAGGATTTTTAAGAAGATATTTTTGATGAATAAAGTGTTAACCTACAAACTTCAATTAAGTTAACAGTTAACATTAGATCATTATCATATCCTTCTCCCCACTTTGTTTCTTTTCCTC